GAGAGCCATCATATGTATAAGAGAATGTAACTTCATTAAAATCAAAAATTGGGAAGATATATAGGATTATAATGGAATCAACATAAGTAAAATCCTATTTAATATGCTAGGTAAGAAAAATGATAATGTTAAATTAACTCGACAAACCAAGATTTAAAAAATATAAATTGAAGGCTTATAGCCAAATATGCACCTTAGACGCAGTGGATGGAACATCGGAGGAAGCCTAAAAAATGATGAAATAATTTACCAAATAGAAAATGAGCTTAAAAAGTGTGTAAAGTTAGTATCAAAATTAAAAAAATTATATGTATTTATTCTGAAGAATGCAAAAGGAGTGCAGCATCTGGGCCTTGGTGTAAATAAGGGATTATGAATAAGGCTGTGTAAATCTTCCTCTATCTTATATATAGATTATTCTTTTTTTAAATATGTTATTGATATTTTGTAATCCTCTAAACTAGAGAATATCCATACTTAGTCTAGTTATCCCAGTGAAGACATGAGCTGCCCTAAAGTCTAAAAGTTTAAAATCAGAGAACTGAGGGGCTACAACAAATTACAATAATTAAGTGAGTGTATTTTGGGGAAACAAATTAGTGTTCGAATTTGATGGCCAATCGAAAACTATGTATCTGTGTGTAAGAACATACTTCCGAAGGTGGCCTAGTTGAAGTAGTCGCAGTATTCGAGTTGGAAAGACCATCTGGTGTGCAGTCTCCATCGGTAGCAAGTACATTCAGATCAGCATTAGCTGTAGTTCCATCCGTATCATTTGCAGCAGAGGTAACAGAGCCATTAAGGGGAGGATCTGAAAGACCATCGCGGAGAGGAGACAGAGATAAAATATCACCGTGAAGGGAGAGATGACCTGAAAGATTGGCGGGACAAGAATCTGACACCTCATCGCCTGAATTACAAACTACACCTAAAGTGAAAAATAGAAGAAAAAACAATAAAATAAATACTTAATAAATTTGTGATGAACAACCTATGTCGCAATATCAGCAAGTAATAGTAGGTGTGGTTATTTAGTTGGCAAAATATCTTACTTGAACTTAGAGAATACTAATTATAATTGGAGGATAGACTTAAGACAATTTTAGTAAATATGCCGATGATCCGCTAGAAAAAATACGAAGTTTGGAGAAAAGAAAAAAGGCATTTGACAATTAATTGTAAGAGAAATTGTTAAAAAATAGATTTCTGTGGACTTTCTTTTCTACAAAAATAAATGAAAAGATTGATTAATAGGCCTCGTCGAATCTCTTCAGCATCTACTTTAATACGAAATGAAAGTCTACACGACTATCTTATACGAAGAGATCATCGAAACCCAGCCACTACATATTTACCAAAGTATATTGTGAAGTGACTTTACGTTAAGAATGAAAAGTTGGTTGCAAGAAATCCCTGAATTTGTTTCAAAGCAAACCAAAGGAGAATTACCGAGAACTTATTCGCACAATACAAATCTTCGCTCCGGAGCGATCCTCCTCCGGTTGCTGATGAGACAAATTCCATCCTGCGAACTATTACTCCGAAAGGAAAGATCATGTCTCAATAGATCACTATAAAATTGTCCCGAACCCAGTTTTTACTTATACATTAGATCGAGAACTTAGCATTGATTCCAAATAATACTTGAGATAAGCTCGGCATTAATAGCGCATTCCACTAATGCTATTAATTTAAAACTTGTTTGGTCAGCCAGGCCGTAGCTACCGATAAAACCCAATATTTGTG